CTAAATATTTCCGACTTAATACATAAATTACAGTTACTAATAATAAATTATGCAATGATGTAAGGATGAAAAAAAAACTTATATATCTGGCGATTTCTCCCAACATTCATAATTAAAAAAAAATTGTCCCATCCAAAGTCTATTCAAAAAATTGAAAAAATAAAATAAAAGTCAATTAAAGATAATATAATAAAAATTTTAAGTACCTTACCCATAAAATTTTTTCCCTCAAACATTTTACAATGGCTCTTGAAATTCCAAGTGAATACGGATACGTAAGTTTATTATTAATAACGTTAAACCCATTTTAATACGAAATCTCTATCACATTTTTTATCTTTATGATCAGGTGATTATCACCGGTGTCGCTTCAATATTCTTAACGACATATCTCGGTTGTAAGTAGAGTTTTTTTTATTATTATTTTATTTTATCCATCTTATCTAATAAAGGTTCTTCATATGGATCTAGTTCAAGTGGGTGGATATCGTAAAAAATCAGGTGTTACTTATCCTTACAGTAAGTTGGAAATCTCAATCTCTAATTATTTGAAGGAAAAAAACAGCTTTACACGTGATTAACTCATTGTTCTTTAATAAAGTGTACGCTACCAAAGAAGAAGCGGAGAAAGATCGCAGCAAGTTTATTTTCAATTGTTATCAAAGAGCTCATCAAGTTAGTTAATATTTAGCTTGCATTTATTATCCAATCGATTTAAAAATATATAATTAACTATTTTTAATTTTAGAACACTCTCGAAGTTCTTCCTCCATTCCTCTTTACGTATGTTTCATGAAAGTTTTAACACATGATAAATTTAAACAATATTTTAATTCTTATTTATTTAATTTGCTAGTCTTGCGGTTGGTGGTTTAAAACATCCCATTATCGCTTCTGTGGCAGGTGGTACTTGGATATTGGGTAAGTTTTTATTTATCGAAAAATATGACTTTCAATTTAAAATATGTTAAAGACTTATCATGTGACAAACGATCAACATTAATAGGTCGATTGGTTTACGCAAAGGGCTATCAGACCGGCGAACCTGAGAAAAGATCTCGTGGAGCCTTTTCTTATCTTGGCGTTTTAGCATTGTTGGGTACTACCATTTCTACTTCCGTTAGTTTGTTAAGCCAATAAATTTTGATAGTTAATCTTTGTGATAGATTTGAGACTTTTTCTTAAAACTGCATATAATTAATAACTATAATTGCGATTTGTATTGCACTTGTAAATTTCAGTAATTATTACATTTTAAGCAAATTATATCAAGGATTGCTAAATAAACGTTTAATTTTTACTATCAATAAGCTAAATTTTAAGTTAATCATCCACGAGATAATTGTTCATTATTCATGAATGAATATCAACAATAACACCTGAAATGTGTTAGAGATATTATAAATTGATTATTTATCAAGAAATATGAAACATTAGGGTGTTACAAATCAGTCTAATAATTTGTATATAATAAAGGGAATATTATTATAGTGCTATAGCATTCGATACTACCCTATATGTAATAAGCAAATTTGTGTAACATGTAAATCAAAACAACTTTTAACAAAACAAAATTAACTTTATTTAATATTAGGGTAAGGGTAAGGGTTAAAGATTAGGGTTAGGTAGTTTTTATAGTAAAATTTAGCAAGGAATTTTTTTTGTTAAAGCTCAAAAGATAGTTTTTTAGACAAAATTTTGAGATATAATGGTTTTTTTAAAAATTTCTTTATTTTTGTTACACAAAGCTGATTTGCATGTTACACCTGATCTTGCGCTATAAAATAAATCTCATAATAAAATTACTATTTATTTATTATTAAAAAATTAAATCATAAAAATTGCTACTACTTTTTATTCACTAAATATTTTTTAATTCTGTAAAATAAATAAAATTCTTTAGTTATTTATCGACTTAATATCATCTTTATCAAAAATACTAATAGCGAATTATGTAATATTATCTGTTTACTAATAAACTTTATAAGGTATGTAAAAATATGCGTTATTTTATTAAAGTTTATTTTCTTAAAAATATATGAATATAAATTTTATAAAGCAAATGATTGTAAAACAAAAGTTTTAGCAATTTTAATTTTGATCTAGTACTTTCTTATAGATTTAATTAAACATATTAAGCAGATTTACAAATTTAGCCAATCAGATGATCATATAACATATACTAGGGTTTAGGGCATGGGAGCACGGGGCATTGGGGTATTTCAAATACTAATTAGTCAAAATTATGTAAGGGTGCAGTAATAATGATTCTACTATTAGATTTTAT